TTGCTGTGTAGGTGCTAGAAGCACAGAGCTCCCGCTAGGAAAAAAGTTAGTAACCCCATTGCCATACAGTGTGCTTGTGCATAACACAGTAAGTTCATAGGCTTTTTTTGAAAATTCTTCTTGTGCTGTTAATTGGACTCACATAAACAGCAGTGGGAACTTTCGTGTTGGATCAGGCTGTCCAGCATTTTTAATCCATGTTGCATTATCCACTCTGGTACTAAACACTATTTATCAAACTGTGATGGCTACTTCTGAAGTTGCATGGATGTAGAGAATTAGCAGAAACGGGAGGGAATAAAGTACAATTCTGGCTATGCTTCTAGTTTGGTTTCAGGTTTAGAGTCTATTGCTTCTTCCATCTGTCCCTCTAATCAAGAAAATGTATTCACTTATAATACACTGGAATGCCTTCCAACAAAGATGGTCACTCACAAGCCATTAAGTCACCAACATGGAATCCAATTAAAATATGCAACAATAATTTAAAACTGTTAAAGCAACAGTTTTAAATTTCCATCTGTCAGAGGCCAGGCAAAACAAAATTTTCAGCTGTCTCCATGGAGAGACCAGGGAAGAGTGCATATACAGACTTTGCCAGGAGAAAAGGTTTTGCTCCTGGTATATTACAATTCTACCTCCTGAGAGCAGAGATCTCCAACCTTTTTGAGCCTGTGGGTGCCTTTGGAATTCTGACCGGGTGGTGGGTGCAGCTACAAAATGGCTGCCACAGGAGCTGCAGCCAACCACTTATACGAAGTCCAAGTGCGGGGCTGAAGAAGGGTAATTAAAAAATACACTTGGAAGGAGGCATGAGAGAGAATAAAAACCAACACTGCTGGCAGTTGCCACTGAAACAAAGCTATTTTAGTCTGCACCGATTGGCTTCCAGTGGCCAACCAGAAACCCTACGGGGCAAAAGCCCTACCTGACCTAGGGTTGCCACCAGGGCGCCCCCCCCCCCGGCCACTGCTGTGGAATAGGAGTTGTATGGTTGCCAGCTCCAGGTGGGGTAATTCCTGGAGATTTGGGGGTGGAGCCTGGGGAGGACAGGGACTTCAGTGGGGTACATTGGTGTAGAGTCCGTTCACCAAAGTATATTTCTTTTCCAGGGTAACTGATCTCTGTAGTCTGGAGATGAGCTGTAATTCCAGGGATCTTTCTAAAAACATTTGGTGGGCTCCAGGAAAGTTGATGGCTGGCACCATGATGGCCATCGGCATCTTGTTGGCACCCCCCTGGTCCTTAGAGGGTGGAACTTTGAGCAGGGCATCTTTGTCATAACTTGAAGCCTCAGGGGAAGATTCTCATAGAAAGCATTCCGTGAAATTCTGAAAGCATGGGTAGGTAGAGCTTTAAAGGGCAAAAACAGCATCTCGAGTTAGGCCTGGAAATAAACTGACGTGCAGATATTAGCACAGATGTAATATGTTCTTGCCAACTATTGGCCACGGTGGCTCAGAGATCAAGCACTGAGCTGCAGACCGGAAGGTCTGTAGTTCAGCAGTTCAAGACCCTAGTGTCGTGTGACGGAGTGAGCTCCCGTCTTCGGCCCCAGCTCCTGCCAACCTAGCAGTTTGAAAGCAAGAAACTGCAAGTATATAAATAGGTACCACTTCGGTGGGAAGGTAACAGCATTCCATGTGCCTTGACATTTAGTCAAGCCGGCCACATGTCCACAGAAACTTCTTAGGACAACGCTGGCTCTTTGGCTTGGAAACAGAGATGAGCACTGCCCCCTAGAGTTGGATTCAACTAGCTTTCAAGCCGGGGAAACCTTTACATTTACCTTAATATGTTCTTGCCAACTATTGGTTAATAAGTAGGTGCAGCATTCTGTACCAAATGCAATTTCTTAAACCATCTTCAAGAACAGACCCTTGCATTATCTGGAGGTCACTGGGGCATGAATAAAAGTCACCAACTACCTTCCGAAAGTGGGGTACAGATGATGAACCAGTTGCAGTTGGTAAGCCCAGGAGTGATGCTGGCTAGAGGAATACACTTAAGCTATGAACCAGCCCCTGTGCCCCTTAAGGGGCAATACGTGATCCTATCAAAAATGAGCAGAAAATTCTTCATATGGAGAGCCCATACTGAATAATTCTGGTAAGTCAGTTTATCTACTAGCAAGGCTGAAGGTGCCAAAGCCATGCTGTACTCACTTTCTGGAGTTTCCTGGTTACTGTTCTCAAACTCCTCTGCCTCCTCCGGGTCAGATAGAGATATGCTGCCTTCATCTCCGGACTGTGTCTCCATCTCTGCCTCACCAGCAGACATTCACTGCGCCACTGTATCAGGAGTTCACCAAATCCAGCACTGGTTGACCCTCCACAGTTCAGCAGTCTGGGCCCATAACCCTGACGCTGTTTGAATGTCACCAAAAAGCAGAAGACACTGCGCTGGTATAAAGCTATTTACAGTTTTATTTACAGATATTTACACAGTCCAAGTAGTCACTCCAAAACAGGCTATTAGTCCAACAGAGTGCTACGCCAGGCATCAGTAACTATGTAGGTCCTTCAATGCACAGTACACAGCAGGATATATACAGCAGTCAGCCAATCACAATACACTTGCTGAGTCATAGTGACTCCATACATAGTCATAGTGACTCCATACAAAGCTGATGCAATGTACCTGTCATGTGACATATCAAGTGACCACTTAGCTGTCAACTTAGATCACTTCCATCTGGAAACCTGACGAGCTGGTTCCTGTTGATATGCCAACATATCCATGATAGGGTCTTCCATCACTTATTAGTCTTGTCTACATTCATGTTTATGTTCACCCTCATCCAGTCTGCTGCTGATATCAGACACCTATTCAAGAAAACCATTGGCCAGACTGGACTGGAAGAAAAGGGGGAAATATCCTCTGGTGCTGACCTTAGCATTGTGAAGAATCATAGAATGTTAGAGTTGGAAGGGACCTTGCAGGTCATCTAGTCCAACCCCTTGCACTCTGCAGGAACATAGCTGAAAGATAGCCCTACAACATACCCGAAATATGGTCGTCCAGCGTCCGCTTGAAAACGTCCAGTGAAGGAGCATCCACCACCTCCTGAGGCAGTCTGTTCCACTGCTCAACGACTCTGACAGGAAGTTTCTCCTGATATTTAGCCGATAATGACTCCCTTGTAATTTCCACCCATTAGATCTATTCTTGCAATCCGGAGCAAGAGAGAATAGATCTGCTCCATCTTTTTGTGAAGATTGTTCTGTTTTTGAGGTTTTGTGAAGATTGTTCTGCCTACAAAGCATGGTAAACATGTACATGGGCTATATAATTAAGAATATGTGGGCAATTTATCTCCAATACAAGTTTCTGTTCTCTATGGGACACATGGCAACCCTAGAAATAAAGAACCTAATGGAGCCACAGAACACATGGAGTAAAAATCTTAGGGGTTTTCTACAGCTAGAACTGAGAACTTTCAAGACCCAGAGGAGAAGAAACCATCCCATTTTTTATCCTGGAGTTTGTCCTTCCACATATCAGGCTGAATAGTAAGTTTTTGGCAAACATATTGCCATGGCTTTGGTCATCTGGTGGTTATGATGATGAATGTCATTGTTAACAGTATCAGTTGACCTCTCATGCTTTAACGTCAGTTTCAAATGAACTGAA